CGGTGCTCAGGGGACCATATGGGATGCTGGGAATCGAACCCGGGTCAGCCTCATGCAAGGCAAACACCCTACCCTCTGTGCTATCTCTCCAGCCCCCACTATGCACTATTTTTAATATATTGTTTGTGCTACCTCTACCTTTCGTTACTTTCTCTATAGGTTCCTGATTTCTTTATGAGCTGGAGCTGACAAGATGCGAGTTACAGTGACAAAACAAATGTGATAAATTTCCGTTGCCCTGTGAAATGTGTGCAGTGTGGAGTTCGTCTGCTGTTTAGAATCCTAATGTTATGCTCAAGTAGCCTTCTCCATCCATCAGATAGCACGTTGCCATCTGTAGAAGTGCCACAGTACTAAGATTTATGTGTTACTATTTAAAGAATTCAGGTTTGGCAACTTCATGCTGTTCATTTGGCTAAACAATAATATGCTAATTAACCTGCCTGACCTAAATTACACAGCACTGGAATATCTGCGGCCAACTCCATCCCTCAATTGGCTGACTATTCTTGACCCTACAGTTTTGCCTATAAGGAGCTTTACATCATAAAATAGATGATTATTGGCCTGCTTTACTTCATCATCTGAAAGGGGATTAATTATCTTCAGTTTACTGAAGGAAATTTAGATTTCACTTGGTTTGTTATGATTATACCAATACTTTCCAATTAATGTGCACTGTCAGGGATGGAAAAAAAAATTTGCTTTCTTTTCCAAAACAATCTGTTTTTTTCTTCTTCTTCAGTTTGGCTGATAATGTGTGGATAATTCTAATTTATTTTATCTTGAGCTAATAGGACATGCAATCCAAGATCCATATGGGGGTTTCAGAGTCTATGGATGCCCAAATGATATAAAGAGTTTTTATGTTTAAAGTATTTCAGTGAAAAGGGGTTTTGCAAGATTCTCAAGATGTGTTCCTATCTCCCAAATAAAATAAAAAAATAGACATTAGTTGTTCAAACGATTATATGGGCTGGAGCGATAGTGCAGCAGGTAGGGTGTTTGCCTTGCATGAGCCCACCCGGCTAATCCGTGTTCGATTCCTCTGCCTCTCTCGGAGAGCCTGGTAAGCTACCAAGTGTATCTTGCCCGCATGGCAAAGCCTGGCAAGCTACTCGTGACATATTCAATACGCCAAACACAGTAACAACAAGTCTCACAATGGAGACGTTACTGGGTCTGCTCAAATCGATGAACAATGGAGGATAGTGACAGTGATATATATATATATATATATATATATATATATATGTACATCTATATATATGTATATATATAAAACCATCCACACATTCTGGTGGACCAATCTGGTCTCCTTAAGGTTATCTGGTGGACCAATTTGATGGGCTCCTTATGGTTGTCATGTTACACTAAGCATTATTGCCGTCTCTCCTGGCTGAACCTTCTGGCCCCTTCGTTTGCCATCTTGGAAGAATTCAAAGAAACTAAACCAATAACCAGAACCCCCAATAAAGGCACTGAAGAAAATTATTGTAAAGAATCTAATAAAAGTTGGAAATTTTCTAGCAAGATCAAAACAGTGAAAAGATCTCTGACAAAATCTCTTGATATCTTGTTAAAAGTGGGACAGGAAAATTACTTAGTCAAAGGTAATGATTAAGTAGGGTGGGAAAAAGTGAGAAAAGAAAAAGGGGAGTGCAGTGGAAGATAGAAAATTTATGGAGGTTCTAATTATCATTTAAAGCTGTATGTAAATTATTATTATTATTATTATTATATTATTATTCTTGCACAGCAGAGCCTGGCAAGCTTCCCATGGTGTATTTGATATGCCAAGAGCAGTAACAATAATGGGTCTCATTTCCCTGAACCTGAAAAAGCCTCCAATACGGCAGCGTTGGGAATGACGAGTAAGGAAAGGCTGCTAAAGTCTCAGGGCTGGAATGAATGGAGACGTTACTGGTGCCCCCTTGAGTAAATTGATGAACAACAGGATGACAGTGATACTGTGATATAGTGATCTAAATTATACAGGAGAATATTGTCATTCATGAAGTTCAAATTCTCAAGGACATAGAAATTCTTTGGTTCACATGCTTGCAGATTCTGACGTGATAGTTCTGGGTTGGAGCCTTTAGTTCTCTATTTGTAACACAGTTCTGGAGGGAACCTCAATGATGTCTCCAGATAATGTGTTAATTAGTAATGCTATAAACTGAGATCTAAGTCTTCTCCTGTCTGTATTCTACAATATCTATAAGGAAAAATCAAAACTTGATGCACTTTGAAGGAGTTATAAAAAGCAAAAGAAAATAACCTCTGCATGCCTTGAAAGGAATAAACAATAAGCTTAGTCGAAGTTTCCAGTAATGTGAAAGCAATTAAGTCTTCTATTAAGGACCCTGACTGCTTTTTATTGCAAGAGTAGCAGATATAGATAATACGCAGATTTAATCAGAGCAATTAAACTATTGATATGGAAGTGTCATTGAAAGGTTTAGGTTGTTAGACCAACGTTTATTAGAAAGCATTGTTCTAACAATCATAATAAAACAATATAAAAAGGCAATTATAGAGCAGTGGAGGTGACTGAAAGTTTTATTCTATCTTTCTAGTACTTGTCTCTTTTCTCTTTTCTTTCTTTCATATATATATATATATATATATATATATATTTTTAAGTGTCTTCCGAACAATACTGAGAGCCACTCTCGGCCATCAATACTTGGCAAACTGTGTCAGATGTTTTAATGATCAGACCTGGTCCAGTGATATGATGTACTCAGGACCAGTGATGCTGGAGGTTCCCATGGTTACACCTGGTCATACTGAGAAGGACAGGTTTGTGTAAATGACACTGGGAATCAAACTCAGTGCTTCATGCATACAAAATATGTTCTCCAATTCTTTATGCATACAAAGATGTGCTTCAGGCATGAACTTGCTCACTGGATTCTTCTGCTCTCTTTTCCCTATAAATGTTTTAATTAGCACACACACATCCCTTATTTAGACCAATATAAGAAGATAAATAGGTGTTTTGTTTTTTCTTCATAAGAGTTTGTGCTGTATATACCATTCTGTATCATTTATTTTTTATATATACAGTATTATATTTGTTGTTACATATAGGTACATGAGAAAATATGTCTTTATTCTCTTTGACAGAGGAATAATACAATAATTATTTTATCCTGTTTTCTATTTATTTATATACATTTGGACTTTCCCTTATAATTTGCAATGCCATTATACTCATTATACTTGGTCAATCTGGCATTGAAAAGTTCTTTCCAGATGAGATTGTTGAATTAAAAAATATCTTTATTTCTAATTTTGATTAATACAGAAAAATTAGTCGACATGAATTTGGTAGTTACATAACTGACTATGTATTTCCCTCTAACCTTACAGAAGTTATTAACAAGATTTTGGGTCTTGGTAATTATAAGATACAATTGGATGTCTGTTTAATTAAACTTGGCTTTTTTCTTATTATGAGTCAAATTTAGTTCTTTATATAAGGAATGGTCATTTGAACTATATTTTTTATGAGACATTTTTTCAAGATTTTTTTATTCATTTTTAGAGTGTAATTGAGTGTTATTGATTTCTGGAGATTTCATATAGTCAAGATGTGATGAGTTGTAAATTTTTATTATGTATTCATGTTGTACCTTGTCTACTTTTTTTCCTATATAACTATTTTAACAGAATTTACTTTTCCAGTTATCTATTTTATGACCTCTGGATTTGGTCTCAAAGCAAGGTAGTCCTTCTTTTCGAGATTAAAAGGAAAAACTCTTGTTTCCCTATATTAGCACTACAGCACTATCCTCTTGTTATTCATCAATTTTCTTGAGTTATTGTTATTCATCAATTTGCTGCTTTGGGTACCAGTAATGTCTCCATTGTGAGAGTTGTTGTTACTATTTTTGGCATATCGAATATGCCACGGGGAGTTTGCCAGGCTCTGCCATGAGGGCGGGATACTCTCAGGAGCTTGCCGGGTTTTCCAAGAGGGATGGAGGAATTGAACCCGGGTCGGCTGAGTGCAAGGCAAATGCCCTACCAGCGGTGCTATTGCTCCAGCCCATTTATTTGGTAATTATATCAAATAATATTTTATAAAATACTATTTGCTAAATGAACATCTCCAAATGCAACAGTTATGTTTACCTAGGTCGAGAAGTCAACATGATGAAGGACCTAGCACCTGAGTTGTGCAGGAGGAAGAGAGCGGCTTGGAATGCCTTCAAGAGTGTCGAAGAAATAGCTAAGAGGATGAAAAACCTCCAGCTCTGGGCACATCTCTTTGACTCCACAGTTCTTCCTGCATTAACAAATGTCTCAGAGACCTGGGCCCTTTGCAAACAGGATGAGAACGCTATTTGGGTCTCCCAAAGAGGAATCCAAAGAGCTATGCTTGGAGTAACCCGCTTCATTCAAATGAGAGAGAGAGAATCTGGAGTTGCAACCCCTGTCAACGATCAAGAATCAGGGATGCTGCCTCATTTTCCAAGGAGTCAAAAATCAGATGGGCTGGACATATAATGAGATTTGGAGACGACCACTGGACTAGAGCCGTTACCAATTGGACTCCAAGGGACGTCAAAAGATCGTGTGGCCAACCACCTACGAGATGGTCAGATTTCTTTGTCAAGACCCTGAACGATCGGTTTGAGGCTCTTCGTGTTCCTAGAATGAGTAGATACCATTGGGCTAACACTAGCACATGACAGAGACGAATGGAGATGCTACTGGAACCTGCTCAAGCAAATCGGTGAGTAACGGGATGACAAGTGATCAAGTGATTTGCTAAACAACCGACTATTCCTTTACTAATTTGAGGTATTATGATCACTTCACTTGATCACTTGAGGTATTATACATTTTATATACCTTCATTCTATATTCCTTCTTAGTCAATTTTGTTTTGATCAATTTTGCATTTGTAAGTTTGTGCCATATCACTCTATATGTTTAAACCTGGTAGTTTTAGACCTTACTCGTGAGCCTTGTGTGTGTGTGTATGTGTGTGTGTGTGTTTCCATATACTAAAATTGGAACGATACAGAGAAGATTAGCATGGCACCTGCGCAAGGATGACACACACACACACACACACACACACACACATATATATATATGTATATATATATATAAACTTTCAATTTCTATTTGCTAAATGAACATCTCTGAATGCAACAGTTATGTGTTGAAAAACATATTTAAATTTCTATGTTTAAGATTTTAACACCTGCTTAAACAGGGCTAAGGAAAGTTATTTGGGTTTGGAATTGGAATTTATTTTATATATATATATTTTTGCTTTTTTTGGGGGGGGTCACAGCCAGTGATGCTCAGGGGTTACTCCTGGCTCTGCACTCAGGAATGACTCCTGGTGGTGTCTGGGGGACCATATGGGATGCTGGGAATCGAACCTGCATTGGCCGTGTGCAAGGCAAACGCCCTACCCGCTGTGCTATCACTCCAGCCCCTGGAATTTATTTTAAAGCATTGAATAATCTATGATTTACAAATATTCATTTAGTGCCCAGTATGTGCCAAGTTTAGAAGTGGGATATAAGAGGTAGAGACAAAAAGCCAAGTAAATAATTTAGATAGTTTAAAATAATACCAATGATATATGAAAAACTTAAGAGGTCATAGTAAATGTATGTAGAAAATGTATTTTAGTATTGTCATCCTTATATTCCTCATCTTCTTTGTAATAGCTCTCTCATATTGAGTTTACTTATACAAGATTAGAAAAAATTTCATTTATATAACTTTATTTGAACATTTATATCCTAAACTGGTCTAACTAATGAAAAACAACTGTATTTATGGAAATCAACATTAAGTGATGGGAGAGAAATAAAGTATATATTTATGTATATATACAATTGCATATATACATATGTATCTTTATAGATATAAGTATATATTACACACATATATACACATATACACATATATGTGTAGATAAACATATGAACATGAAAGCAAGACACAGAACCAGAGATAAAGATACAGAAAGCACCAGAAAACAAAATAAAAAAATACTTTAAGGAAAAATAATTGATTGAAAAAAATTGAAAAAGAAAAAAATGATATCAGCTATCCAAATCAATCTGCAGCGTTAATGCAATTTCAAGCAAAATCTAACAAGTTTTCAACAGTACTTGACAGACTGTTTCTGTAATTCAGATGGAAGGGCAAAGACAGAAATATTCTTGAATAAAAGAATCAGGGCAGTAGCTTGATGTATCAGATATCATGACATATCTTAAAGGCTTGGTAATTAAAAAGATATTCAGTGCATTACTTGGTAAATACACTAGGTGTACGGAATTCAGTGTCTAGAAACCTATCTCCATAGGACTTCCTTAACTGATCATCAAATTACATCCTAATGAACCCATTCTAAGTTGAATATATAGTAAGTTAAAAATCTGGGCCAGAGAGAAAGTTCAGGAGGTACACAGGTTTGCCTTGAATGTCACAGTTAGTGTTTGTTCAAACTCTTGGTGCAATATACGTTTCTCCAAACATGCTTGGAGTGATCACTCATATTGAGTGTACTTATGCAAGATTATAACATATCATATAGCACAGAGACAGGGGTACGCCCCACAAACCACCAGGTGTGACCCAATATCAAAAACTAAAACTCCTGGCAGCAAGGTGGCCATCACCTCAGAGCTTATTGGAAATCAAGGTATGAGCTGGCGGTGACAGGATAACTGCAGTCTCATGGGAAGGGGGGGTGGTACCAGCTCATCCTTCACACCCTACTGAGGCCACGAGTTGCCCCCAATGAGAGGCTCTCTGGCACTACCATAACACCAGATGCAAAGAAACCAATCTCGTAATTATCTGGCTCTTGGCAGAAATCCTTCCAGACTTAACTAGTAAAATATCAGAAACACAAAATTGCGCAGCCGCTATCGTGGCCACGTGACATCATATGGTTCTCATAAACAGCTATAGAAACCAAATTATTTCACAATGCCTTTTCAGCAGTTCTGATTGTTGGGGGGGAATTCTAAACAATAATGGTACATCTTTTGTCGAAATAATGAATGTATTCAAAGTAGAGAGAGAGTTAAATAGAAATCATCTGCCTCAAGGCATTGTGAGGGGTGGAAGGGGATATATTGGGGTTCTTGGTGGTGAAAAATAAGAACTGGTGAAGGGAAAAGTGTTTGATCATTGTATGACCGAGACTTAATCTTGAAAGCTTTGTAACTTTTCCCACAGTGATTCAATAAATAAATACAACAAACAAACAAACAAAACCCTAAAACTCAAAACTCCTAAATGTATTTAATAAAACTATTAAACACCCTGGGTTAGTCTTGCCTTTCTTAAACATGCCAGAGTATATACATATGGTTAGGTTCACTCATACAATACCAGTCAAAGGTGTTGACTATCTCATGCAATTTTTTGAATTCTGAAAGTAAAAATTTGCAGAGGTGAGTTAGTTGTATATGTTTCTGATTGCACAGCTATCCAGCACGTACCACTGGAGCCCAGCACATTAAGTTTCATATTGCACATTGCTAGTCCGAGAAAAGATCAAATTCAAGGTACTATTTCCACTATTTCCACTGAATACATAATGCTTTCTCATATTGTCACGTTAAAAAATCTTAAGACATATCATTGTAAGTCAAGGCTGTCTATACATGAAATCCTAATATGTGATGAACCAAAAGTTAGAAGTTTAACTAAACATGCTGTAGTTATTGGTTAGCCATTGAGAAGAAAATTAAGTACTCCTATATTCAACTAAACATACAAAAAATGAAAGGCAAATTAAAAATTATATGTGAAAAAAGACAAATTTTTGTAACAAAATGTGGGAGGAGCCATAATTTATTATTTTTGATTTCTTAAATAAATAGTAAAAATTAAAATACTACAGCAGAGTGAAAATCTTCATTACACAAAAATCATAAGACAAATGAATAGAAACATAAACCAAAGCAAGATGTGGTGTTTTTTTATTTTTTTTTAAGATGTGGTATTTTAAAGTAAACAAGAAACACTCTTATTAATGATCAAGCAAAACTACAAAAAGATACCACTTAAAGTTGACAAAAGCATCAACATTTTAAAAAATTCAAAATACTCTAGGATACGAATTTAGATAATACTTTTAGTTAGATAAGGATGAGAATCAATAGGAATTCTAATTGATTCCATTTCCAGTATAATAGTGCAGCCACTTTGGAACTAAACATTTTATGATATCAAATTAAGTAAACATACAGATATGATTTAGCTTTCATAGTATTTTAATTATGACTCTGACAGTGGGTTGAAAATCAGTCAGGGAGCTTTAAAAATACATAGGTTCTACAATGTAAGTATAGACCGAATAATTCAATACTCATCGGGATGCCTAATTGCTATCTGCGGTTAGTTTGGAGAAATACTGCCTTGGAGAAAATCTCTCTCAGGTAACCCAAGAGACATGAATACAGACATTCATGGCAATATTGTTACTTGCAAAAAAAAATTGTATATGACCCTAAATCTCAGACTTAACTACACACAGTTCTACTAAAGAGTGACACAGAGCAAAATGCAAATAAATCAATAAACAGATGAACAAACCCATATGTAGCAGCATGAATAGCAGGTTGGGAAGGGTAGCAGAGATAGCCCACAGGTTCAATTTAACAAATGCACCTCTAGCATATAGCAGTGCCCCACTGGTTGTAATGATGGAGTCATTATTATCAACAGACTACGGAGTGAATCACCTCCAAATCTTACCTTGTCATCTCCTGACGTTCATCCTTAGCATTCGCCAGTTATTCCAGATTGCATTCTCCAGGAGACATATTTTTTTTTGTTCAGGTCTGTCTGGGAATAGTATGCAAAGTATCAGGACCTTTGAGAAATAACAGAAGTCAAAGGGGCAGGGATATGGCATGATCTGTGTGATGTAATTGCGATGGATTTTAAGGGGGAACTGGAGATTAGCTGGATTCTGTATATGTTCACATTGATTCAAAAGGATCAAGCATTTGTGGGCATTTGTCAGTGACTGGATGCAGACTGTGCTGAGTGCAACTTCTGATGAGGGTCAGAGCTATGGTCAGCAGCCAATCCTCTGGCAACTTTGAGCATTAGCATTTCAGCTCTATAGGAAAGTCACACAGCACAACACCATGTCTACTATAAGCTAAAACATGAAAAGTGTAGATATCAGAGTAGATAGTACAGGGGGTAAACCATTTGCTTCGCACATTATTGCTCTGGGTTTGGTCCCCATCACCCTACCTAATTCCTCGAGCCTGGCAGGAGTGATCCCTAAGTGCAGAGCCAAGAAAAAGCTCTGTATTGCTGGCTGGGTATGGCCCCCAAACAGAAAAACAAACTATAAAAATTTAAATTGCATGAAACGAAAGAATATCATTTTTAAAAGATTGATGAAAAACAGGTAAATTGTCATCTATGCATTTATATGTATTATATAAATACATATGTATTTTTGTATTTAATTATGTATTATACATAATTAATGTGACGTCTTATATATTACATATTTTTTACCTTAGGTGAAAACTATAAATAAAAAACCAAGAGAAATTCTTGCATGAAAATAATGATGGTATATAGGTTGGGAGAAGCAATTAATCACAAGATGGGATAAACTTTATCTTTATGCAAAGATAAAGTTCTGCTATTGAAGTGGGGTGATTGATAATCTGTGTTCCCTTTGAATTTTCCTGTTTTACCAGTACATCTATAATTAATGTACTCTTTTGTTATTTATATATTTTTTCTGTTAAAGGAGACTTTCATGAGCATTCAGCAGATGACTGCTATTTTTGTTCAGCATTAAACTACTATAAGTCAAGAGAACAATGGGAAAATAAAACTTTGCAGAAAAAGGGAAATCATCATCCCTCAAAATCAAATATCAAATCAAATCATCCTGTTATTCGTCGATTGCCTCGAGCAGGCCCCAGTAACGTCCCCTTCATCCTAGCCCTGAGATTATATTCAAGGCTCTTTAGGAGAATGAGACCCATCATTGTTACTGGTATTTGGCATATTGGGTACGCCACGGGGAGTTTGCCAGACTCTGCCTTGTGGGCAGGCTACATTCGGTAGCCTG